GGTAATTGTCTTCAAGTATAGAGTATTGTTAACAATCATGTCATTATGAAGACAGAAAAAAATGAGACGAGCTTGTAGGGCTCAGTGGCTTACAATAAGCCATTTTTCTGCAAAGGCAGAGTTTTCTTTAAAGATTGAGAAGCATATTCATTAATGTAAAATAAAAGAAAGATTAAATCAGGCTTCTGATAAATCATGAGGAGGATTCTCAATTGGCTGATTTATTTATTTATTTTTAAAATAAGCCTGCTTGCTTTAAAGAATCACTATGAGAATTTTAGGTTAATGGTTAGGAACCATTTAAATTTTTTTACTGGCTTGTTAATTATATCCTAAAATGCTTGGAATAACTAAAAATTTATATTTATCATGTTGATGTCTATGAATACTAGTGTGTATAGAGAATTTACATTAATTCACTGGATGACTGATTTTTTTTGTGTAAGGAATAGCAGGGGACAGAGATAGACTACTAAGAGGCGAGATTGTATTTAATGTCAAAATTTTATTTTAAAAACCAGAAGTGAAGGAAATTAAATTACTATGGTTTTCAATTATAAGGAGAGGACAGGGGAATGTGTAAGAGATAAGTTAGCTAAGGTTCAGAGGAAGCTGTTTTATAGTTACTAAGGGAGAGACTGAGACCACTTCAAAGGGAAGGGATTCAGTTTAATAACAGCAAAAAGTAAAACTCAGTAAGTCTGCTGTCTTTCTCACTTCTGCCAGTCTGGCTGTGGGATTATTTGTTACAGTATCAACTGTAAAGCCCTGTGATGTTTTGTTGAAATCCTTAGTTTCCTCTGAGACATAATGCCGGTGGCAGTCCTTCTGGAAAGCTTTTCCTGAGCCTCCCTCATTCAGCTCAGTGGTCTCTCCTCAAAGTCATTTTTGTCTCTTCAACTTTCTCAAAATACTTTTGTGTAGCACTTATTTAGCACATTATGTCCCACTTAACTCATAGGATCATTGACTTTAGAGTTGGAAGGGAGTCTTAGTTCAATCTCTGCAATTTATAGATGAGGAAACTGAGACACAGATTACTTGTGTATGCATTGTTGTCGTACATTTCAGTTGTGTCCAACACTCCGTGACCCCATTTTGTGTATTGTTGACAAAGATGCAGGAGTGGTTTGCCATTTCCTTCTCCAGCTCCCTTTATAGATGAGGAAACTAAGGCAAAGTGGGTAAAGTGACTTGCCAAGGAGTCACACAACTAGCAAGTATCTGAGTCCAGATGCAAAATGAGTCTTCCGGACTCCCAGGCCCAGTGCTCCATCCGCCTTGTCATCCAGCTGCCCACTTGTGTATATGACATTCTCTCAATTACAGTTGCAGACTGTTGTTTTTGAATTTGACTTTCTCAATGTCAAGCATGGTGCCTTGTGTGTAGTAGATGTTTAATAAACGTTTAGTAAATTGAATAGGTTGATAAATTCCAAAGGGGCAAGAAAAATGTACCCCCAAATTTTAAAAATAGCCACAAAGGATTTATTCAGGACTTAGCATAATTGTTATTGTTGTTCAGTTACTTAATCATGTCTGACTCTTCATACCACATGTATCATAGCATGCCAGGCCTTTCTAGCTTCCATTTTCTCTTAACGTTTGTCCAAATTCATGTTTGTTGTTTGCGACTCTATCTATCCATCTCATCCTCTGCTGTCCAACACCTTCTCCTTTTGCCTTCAATCTTTCTCAACATAAGGGTTGGTTTTTTTTAGTCAGTCCTTTATTCTCATTATGTGGCCAAAGTATTTAAGCATCAGCTTCAGTTATTTGACCTTCCAGTGAATAGCCTGAATTAATTTCTTTAAGTATCGACTGATTTGACCTCCTCACTGTCTAAGGGACTCCCCAAAATTTTCTCCAGCACCATGACTTGAAGGCATTGTTTCTGTAGTGCTCAACTTTCCTCACAGTACATGACTGAATACGGCTAATTTCTAGTACATTATAGAAATCATCAGTATTTTAAACATGGTAAGAACTTAATAAATAAGTTTATATTTATGTACCCACATGTATATATAGATATACATATATATATACCTTCATGTGTGTGTATGTGTGTGTGTATATATATATGTATCTCTCTCTATATATATCTATGTAGATAGATACACATCGATAGTTATAGATTGACATTTAAGTTGATATAAATATTGCTAGAAAAGATAAGATGAAAGGAATACTAGCAGTGATAGAGTTAGGACTACTTAGATTCAGGTCTAACATGTTATATCTGGGTAAGTCACTTAACTTCTGCATTGGCAGAGGGAGTTTTATCACCTGGAGCCATTCACACTAATAAAATCACCAGTTAAGAAAAAATATGAAAAATAATTTTATAATTTAAAATAAAATATTATACAGTTTATATATATGATAAAAATTCTAATTTTTTTCTCAGTATCTTTAAGTTACAGGGAAAAAATATTTTCGGAGACTAACAGATCACACATTTTGTCTTTAGCAGTGTAGAGTACGGGTATATGGTACAGGGTATCCTCAAAGACAACCACATTAATCCCCTAATCTCTTCTACTGAATCTTTTCCTTACTAATTCTCCCCTTCTTTGGATTCAACAGGAATCTTAGTGGTTATGTTTGGGAATATTCTCAGTAAATGACCAAAATTTAAGAAACTTTGATTGATAGAGTGCCTCCTTCCCTTACTTACTTCCATCCCTGTAAAACTACAAAATGTGCTTCCCTCAAGAGCTATCTTCCTCAGTCAATGCCAAAACACACATTAATAGGCTTATAAAAAATCGTTGTTAAAGGCCATGCAATTTAGGAACAGTGGAGTATATAGGAGTGTAGATGAACCTTCAGACAAGGGATGTGGTAGGATTTGCAGGTAAAGTCACCTCATTCTTCTGCCCCTCTCCTTTGCTGGAGGTGCATATGTGTGAAGATTGGGCTTTTCCCTCCTCTGGTTGGACATTTTTCTAGCACTGTTCTTACTTTTCACAACTGCTACTTTGGCCTGTCATCAGCTGTAGCCCACAGTTGAGATCTCTCCCGCCCCTTCTTTCCTCATATTCCCTCTAGTCTGCACAGTAATCCACCAACACCAATCTCTGTCTCCCCTGTCAGGTGCCATTGAACTTGGGCAGTAGTTTTTCCTTTGGGGGGGGCACAGGTGCTCCCAAACGAGCTGAGTTCTCTTGAACTTAAGGTCAAACCCAAGGATTCTTTATCATTTCAGGAAGAACCTCCAAAATGTATGTGATCCTAGGTCCTAGCAACCCAGGATCATGTCTTGAATATTTGCTTTGATATTTAACCTCAGTTTTCCCCCCTCCTCTTAAACCACCTGTCCTTCATTCCTACTATGGACATCCCAGAAAGAACTTGGTAAGATTTTAGATAGGCATTTTTTTCTTTCTTTCTTTCTTTCTTTTTTTTTTTTTGTTTGCTTTGTGGCTAGGCAATGGGGTTAAGTGACTTGCCCAGGGTCACATAGCTAGTAAATGTCAAGTGTCTGAGGTCAGATTTGACTCAGGTCCTCCTGACTCCAAGGCTGGTGCTCTATCTACTGCATCATGAAGCTGCCCCTAGATAGGCATTTTTAGCATTGTATATAACCAATCTTGGGAAATGTTTATTGTTTTGTTTTATTTGAAATTTAGCTTGGTCTATGTATGACTTAAGCTTTTTGGAGGGTAAAAAGAAATTAAATCTTAAGAGAACTTCGGTAAATAATGGTAGTAAATGTCTTAAGGGACTGTCTTTTTTTATTTGTTTTCCCAGCACCTAGCACAGTATCTGTATACAGTAGGTGCTTAATAAATGTTTGTTGATTGATTAAATGGTGGTACATCCCCCCCCCCCATTGGCATAGAGAGAAAACATTCTGCCAGTAGTCCTGATAAGAATTTGACTTAATGCAGAGGTTCATTTGAATTACTTCATGTGATCAAACTTTGGGGGAACAAGACTGAGACAAGGAACAAAGTGATTTCTTCCTTTGTGTTACTTCCTGGAATGACTTGTGTTTTCCCCTTTTCTTTAGGAATGAAAATAAAACCTCAAAATCCTAGCTGTCTCTGATATGGGTCTGGCCGAGTTACCAGGGGATTAAACAGCCTAAACACCTCACATAGCAGTTTAAGAGGAATGAAAACTGTAATCCTATTACATTTATGTATTATCAGTGCTCTTTGAATTTCTGATTATCCCTGCCAATCATCAGGGACACTTTCAGTACTTAGGTGGTAGATAACCACCTTAAGTTAGCTATATCATGAAGGGTACTACTGGTACTGATGATAGCTGTTGGTCTGAGAGAGTGCAGTGAAATTGAATTATCACTGGGAAAGCAAGGAAAACTTTGTGGAAAAAGCACTACATTCGGTTGGGATCTCAGCTCTGATGTTAATCACCCTGGCAGGCATAGACACTAGTCACCAAACCCCTCTTAGTCTTGATTTCTTCATCTATTAATTGGGTATAATCATGATTACACTACCTACTTCAGATGGTTGTAGGAAGTAAAGCATTCATCCACAGTGTTCATAGTGTCAGACCCAGTTGATGTGTTGGTTAACAATAACTATAACCAGCATTTATATACTACTTTAAGGTTTGCCAAGATCTTTATGTATGTAATCTTATTTGAAAGCTCTTTATAAACAACAAAAATGAGTTATTACTTATTATCGCATAATAAAAACATTCATTTTAATGGTAAAATATCTGCAATAACAGAGGGAGTTGTTAATTAATATAATTATTAACCAGGTAACCTTATAGCTTCACACAAGGATTGTTCTGACAAAAATAATTTGTAAAGCTTATGAATATAAAATTTGAATTTCATTTATTAGTATGTTTTCTCATTAAATATTGGCTTATTCAGGACATTTCACAGAAATATTTGTAACTTTGGTATGTGTATTGTATTTTTTTAACTAAAAATTTATCCAAATAGAATTTTTTTTCTGATAGCTACTAAGCAAAAACTATTATATAAATATTTCATTTTTATTTTCTAGTCACATGTGATATTATACGAAAAATATGAGAGAGAACCACACCGGGAAAATGCTGCTATCAAATGTGATATAATCTATGTAACATCTAGTATCTCATAGCCAGTTGAATTAAGCATACTCAGGTAAGAATTATAAATTTTTTCTATTTTTGTTTTATAGCTGCTTAATTATGAGAAGCCATTACCTCTGGAACTCACTTTCCACGAGAGGAATTCCAGTAAATTAAGGATGCATATATTGAATAATATTTTCCCATTCAGACATATGTTTCCACAGATAATATTTTTGGATTAAAGTTATAATTAAAATCATACTTCAGATGCTACACATAAATTTCAGTCATTCTAATCTTCTGTATGTGCATTATCTTTGGAGGTAATTCAGTCAGTTACAATGAGATGAATGGACACTGAATTTAGAAGATTCTTGAATGTTTATTAAAAACAGATTCATTTAACTAACATTTATTGATGGTGCTGAATGATGTTGTGAATATAGAGGTGAGAGAGGCAGGATCCTTCCCTGTACATTATAGTAGGTAACATAAGGAATGAACACAAATAAGAGGGAGAAGCAACTTCCATCTGGAGTGATTAGGGAAGGCATATTGAAAAAGGTTGCATTTGAACTGAGTCTAGAAGAATGAGCTGAACATAAGTGACATGATAGATGTGTCATGCTTGGAAGACTGAAGGCAGGAAAGGTTAGAGGAGGCTAGTGCAAGCAAAAAAACATTCTGATATTGGGTGGTACTGTGATGGCAATGGGAATAAAAAAGAGGAAAGCTGGAGAAGGAAAAAAAAAACACTCTAGTATCTTTGCCAAGAAAATCCAAAAAGGGGGGGGGGGTCACAAAGAGTTGGGCAAGACTGAAATGACTGAACAACAACAACATGGGTGGTTGGAAATTTTTGAAGATTATTTCTATAGCTTCTTTGTCTTTCTGTTTGTATTTCTGGGGAAGCAAAACAAAACAACTCAATTCAGCCTTTATTAAAGACCTGTTGTTAGCTGATCACAATGGTAGGTGCTCAAGTTGATTCCTTGTGTAGATAAGACACATCTGCTCTCCCAGAATCTAGTAGGGGAATATGACACACAGTTACAATACAAAATAACACATATAATGCAAAATATTTAATACTGTGAAAGGTATGGTTAACTCTCAAGAGTCAACTCCCATAGTAGGGAAGGTCCGCTCTTAGGAGCTTTTCTCTCAGGCTCCTTCTAAGTACAGATCTACCTACCACTGCCATATGCCTCTGCAAGGACTATCATTTCAGAGCTACCACTGTATCTGGAGCATTCTTGAGAATTCTGGTCTCTGAACTATTCTCAGAAACTAGGAAGGAGGAAAGTAAGAGGTGTGCCGGTATTTGAAGCCTATGAACCACGGGCTAGCTGGCTTTGTGTTTCTCCGTCAAGTCACCATTTTCTCTTGAGGAGGGGAGAAAAGGAAGGGGAGGGATGAGCTCGTTTTACACCAGCATTTTACAGGCCACAGAGATAGGGTGATTATTTTGAAAAGAGAAGAGGTATAGATTTTTAGTTTCTAATCATCTTTAGGAAACAAATTAATGAAATTCCTTGTTATCTCAGAAAGTTTCCAGGGTGCATACTGTCTCCATGGGAAGGGCTGTTCAGACAAAGATCCTCACTCTGTAATCTCCTGACTTTGATTTGGGGAATTCATCAAATTGATCAAAGATTCCCATAATCAATTTTGCCTACATAAGACTTTAAAGGTAGAATGGTATTACAGTGAGTGCTAGGCAAAGGAATTTGAGTTAGCTTAATGGACAGTAGTAAGCCTTTGAAGATTTTTTTAATGCGACAGCAGTGTTACTACTCCTATACATGAGAAGGATTATTCTAGCAAATGGCAGTAAGGTTGTTAGAGGGGAGAGGGAAATTACCTATTCAAAACATTCATATTTATAATCCAAACTACCACTTTAATTAAATGGTGTTCAAACTGAGATTTCTTTTGATAAAATAACCTTGTTCTAACTCAGTAGATTTTTGATCTTATTAATGATGATACTCTTTCCGTCAGTTCAGATCACAGCCTTCTTTCCAAAGTGTCTGGGACCTTTTTCCATGTTTAAATATTGGATGGAAACCACTGGAACATATGATTTTACCCTTCTCAAATCTCATCTTTTTTGGGTCATATCACCTTTTGATGATATCCTTATTCACAGTACACAATTGGTAATACATTGCAATCTGCTCATTCCTTTCACACACCTCTCTCTTGCCTTTTGGGCAAGCTGCAGCATTAGTTCTACAGACATTATAGTATTTCAGACATACAGCATCACTGCAAGTATATTTATGAATTAGATATTCTAAATATCTGGCTCATCAGTTTAAATATCTTGGATAGACAGTATGGATGGATGATAAATTGTACCCAGAAATGAATAGAAAAGGAGGCAGAATTACCTTTGGAAAAATTTTCAGGGATTTTAATGATCCCAAACTTCTTGAAATGAGTGATAAAAGAAATATTGATAAAATATCATTCTGATGTTTATTTATGGAGTGTGTAGTAATAGCGGGTAGTTTTCTGGGAAATTGATTGCTCTTTAAAGAAATTATTGGTATCTGATAAGCCTGGCCTGAAATAAGTATTATCTTTGCCTTATTGGAAAAGAAATAAACTATAGTCTGAATGCAAATAATGGCTCTTCTGGAGCTAAATTTACTTATTCAGGCTATCAGGGTATCATTTCTTGTACTGGAAACAGTCATTTCCTAAGACATAACACCTTTTTCAAAAGAGTCTAATTTGTTCTTAGGGTGTAACTTAAACACAGAAAAAATATGACTCTAATGAAAAGAAAATATACTTTTAAAATTGCAGTTTAAATATGAGTAAAATGAGGTCAGAAGAGGAAAAGTATTTGTATTTATGATTGCAATGAAGTTAACTAAAAATGCCTCCTCTGTAGTTGCTGAATTAGATAATTATCAATTTAAAGTATTGGAACCAAAAAACCCCACTAAGTACTGACTCAAGTGAATGTTAATTGATTTTTATGAAGTAACAATTACTTGGAATAAAATTACTTATTATAAACTAGTTCTTAATGGTTTTTTTTGTTTAAACAATAACATTTTTAAGAGCGTGAAATAAAATGTTTATGAAAAACATGTCATCCCTGCTGATTTGTGGCAGAAAATTACAGATATCAGATTTTTTTTTTTTTTTTTTGCCTAGGCAGTAGGGTTAAGTGACTTGCCCAGGGTCACACAGCTAGTAAGTGTTATGTGTCTGAGGTCAGTTTTGAACTCAGGTCCTCCTGAATCCAAGGCTGGTGCTCTATCCACTGTGCCACCTAGCTGCCTCCAGATATCAGATTTCTAAGAGTTAAAAGTACATTTTGAAAGGCATCAAACATCCAAAAATATATAATTGAAATAACTTTGGAGGTAAGAAAAAGAAAGTTACTGAAATGAGGAACCTGACCTATCAAATGATGTTCACAGGACCTTCCCCCATAAAAATTAAAGTGTCTGACCGGTTAGACAAGGAACTGTGTTTGGTCTCTTTCTTATCAGGTCATCTTGTCTGACATGTCTGTGTGGAAAGGTAGGTTAGTCTATGTAGATACTTCTGTATGTGTCAAAAGACATTCTAATGAAGTTCTAGAAACAAATTTCAGAAAATCTGTTTAAAAAAAATCTATATTCAGTCACCTTCTCTGATTGAGATATTGAGGCTGAGAAAAGATAAGACAGTGTTCTGGGTGAATATCACAACAGGTGAAATGTAATTTCTTTCTGTCAAATCCAAGGCTATTTCAGGCAATGTGTTAAAACTTTCTCAAGTGTGAGTCTGGAGAAGAAGCTTTGGGCCATTGCATTATTTCTAGAATGTGTTCCTTTAAGCAAGGCTCTATTAATTTGCCGTCCACCTATGCTGTCTTTCTGATGGGATTCTTTTCTATAGTCTATCAATCTTTGTTTAATAATCTGTACTATGTACAGAGTAAGGTGCTAGGGGTTAGAGGAGATAGTTTCTTTACACCCTGCACATTCTACTTCATCGTCTGAATTAGAGCTCATGCCCTGAGAGAATTAAACCATTCCCTTCTGAAATTTCAGCCCTGGGGTCTGCATTGTCCTTATTGATGTGTGCTTCCTATGACCCACTAATATCTAACCAGTCCCAGCAATGCTTTACTTCATACTATTTTTATCTTCTTATCTGCTACCGTATCACTGTACTCTTTCAATCAGAGATTGTGCCTTTTGAAACAAAATCTTTTTTGCCCTGGAGTCTACACTGTCTTAAATGATGAGTTCCTCATGTGGCACTGTATCTAGCTGGCCCCAGTCATAATTTTTTTTACAACCCAGATATTTGATTGCCTGTTGCATGATTAGATTATCAGCTTCTTCAGGGAAAGTTCTGTTTTCTGTCTTTCTTTGTATCCCCAGTATTTATCATGGTGCCTGGCCCTTCCAAAACTTTTAGGTGGTTAATAAATCCTGTTGGACTGAGTGACTAGCTGAGGTGTGTGTGTAATTTCTAACCTCCATTTCTGCTTTCCAGATATGGAACCATAATCAAATCAGTTATGTTATTGCTGCTCTAAAGCTTGTATAAATCTATTTTCCCATGGCTCCAAAACACTATCATTCCTATATATGTTTATCTTCAGTTCAATTCAATGAACATTTATTAAAAGCTTGTGCTAAGTGCTGCAGATACAAATAAGAAAAGAAAGACAGCCTCTTCTTTCAAGGAGCTTACTGTCTAATTGGGGAAGAAAATACACAAAAGGGAAGGGAGGGGTGGTGCATAAGGAAGTACCTGGGTGACTATGGAGTTGAAACTGAGCACAATTGAAGATGGAAAGTAAAGTTAGCTGAAAGTCCAAAATCCTGCCCTGTTTATTAGGCTTAGGGAAAAGTTTGGTGCTTTATCTTCCAACCCTTAAATCAGAGGGGATAGGAGGCTGAGGGAAGTGGGAAGGTGTTGAATATCCAAGGCTGATTTGCACCTATTTAGAAAGTAAACTTCTTTAGGGCCAGGACTGTCTCACTGTTATATTTATGTTCCTAGAGCTTTGTACATAATTAGAACTTAATAAAATTTTTTAAATTCATT